TCGCTCAGTTCCACTGTCAACAAGGGGGGGGCAGGCTATAAAGGTGCCGCAACTTCAAACCAATAAACCGTGATGTTAACATTACCACTGCCGGAGCAAGACTGTGAAAGTACTATTTAATATTTAATTGTATAGATTACAGCGATATAAAAATTAAAATTTGTATATATCGGTACTGGTAGGTGGAACTAGTCCAGCAAGTGTGCCACTTGGTCCTTTTTGCCAAAAAATGTTTGTATATACAAGTACTTAAACAAATAACAAATAATAATACCCATAATGAAATATAAATAAATATTGCGTACTTCTTTATCAGTGACACTCTTGTGGGACTAAAGATATTTCATGACACTTAATTATTTATTATAATCAAATAAATAATAGAAATATACAGTCGTAAAAGGAAATAGCTAGTGTCAAACAAAATAAATATAATACATTAGACGGCTATGAAAAACATAAGGTAATTAATTGTTTTAAATAATGTTTCATACCGTCTATAATTTTTACTTTCACTTCCCTTTGTTTGAAAATATTTATTTCTCCTAAGAAGAGGGTGGTAAATGAAAGTTGTGTGATGTGTGCACCACACCAGATTTTTTTATTAGTACTTGGCAAAAGTATATGAAATTGCTCTTATCATCTCTAATTCTAAAAAAGCTAAAGAAAAAAAAAACCCTTACACTAGGTTTGTCCATCAGTACCGATCTCTCAAACTCATGCAAGTGCTGCCTTGCATATCAGGACTAAGTAGGGATGTTGTAGAATGATAAAATAATGTATTGGCTTCCACCTTAACTTCTCTTATTTTTAATTCCAACCAATTTTCACTGGTCTCCTTAATAATAAGTTTGTTGGTTGCTCCATGACCTTGAGGCTGAGAGCAAAGTAACAAGGTAATGGTAATATTACTCGAATTTATGAAATTTTGACTCTTGAAAAGACAAATCACTAACCAAGCAAAGTTTTTCTTTTATTTAAGTTTCTTCAATGTGAAGTTTTCTTCAACCAAACTTTTTTTTAGCAAGTCTCTCCATCTCTGCCGATCCATCCTATCCTCCTCCGACAGTCCTCTACCAACCATGCTCTCTACCACTCTATCCTTCCATCTAACTGGGGGTCTTCCTCTCATTCTTCTACTCTCTGCCTCCCAATCCATAATTATCTGTGGTTTCCTGTTGTCGACCATTCGTTTCACATGACCATATCACCGAAATTAAAAATTATTTCTTTTTATTTATAAATATTTGTTTTTTATTTTATTAATATGTGATTTGAATTTAAATTTCACGTGAATGGTAATACATTGGAGTAGGAGATTTAGTAGTAGGAAAGCGCACAAGATATAGTCAGTTGTCACTCGGTCTCTGGCCAATTTATTCAGTTGTTGCCCAGCCTTCAACCAATACCCCAGTTTATATTCAGCAGCCAGCCGTTATGATTCCTGCTAAGCTCGATACAATACAGTCAGCTTCCTGTTACTTTTGAAAAAGATCCAGTTCAAAATTAAGCTTCACAATTTGCTTATGCTCAACTAACAGTTAATCTCACAATCTTGCAAATGCAGCTTAAAAACTCAATTTCCGCACTGAACTTTTAGGCCATTTTAAATAAATTTTCGTTCATTCCTATCAAAATTAGGTTGACTAGAGGTAATAGAAAACATCATCTGCCAGTCCAAATTGGTCTATTACACCAAACAGACCCAACTTAAAAACCAACTTTTGGAGGATTTAAAACAGATTTTTGCTTATAGGTCTGAATATCTGGGAAGGACAGACATTTAGACTTATTAATTTTGATGCAGTATTGTTATGGTTTGTTAATTTATCTATGAATTATTTGGCCGAAATTAACTGAATTTTAAAAGTTTATGAGCAACAAAAATAAATTGAACATTTTATTTGAAGTTAGTGGTGGCAATAATAAAGATAAATAACATAATATTATAGTAACATTCCAGAGATCTTTAAACCTTCTTAGTAAATGGCCTCCAGTATTTACTCCTTTATGTGACATTGAGTGCGGAAATGAGAAGGAGTGTATAGGAATATTGGATTGCACTATGAATTGGACTCAATTGTGCAGTGGAGAAGTTGTTTAGTGAAAAGTACAAAATGAAGAAACAATTGATGAAAAAGGTACAGAGCAAAGAAAGGAAGAAACCTGAAAAAAGTGTCTGGCAGCTGGAGAGAGACGCTGGAATGACCAAGATTTCACTTGAGGCAAGGAGATGAAGTCAGAAGTACGTGACGGCAGGAGAGAAGCCCACTCCACTGAAGATTAAGAAGATCAAGCCTACAGTTATAAGACTTTAGTAGATTCATTTATTACAGTTGTTGAAATAAATTATTTTGTTATACAGGAATGGATATTCTTTGTATTTAGTTGTCCTAATCAAGAATCTTTTCTTGATGTCGTTGAAGCACCTTCCTGCAGAGAGTTCACTCTTTCCTTTATTTCTCCGTCGATCCATCCATGTTCATTGTTGTGGGCACCGAGGTATTTAAAATTTTTCACTTGTTCCAAAGGAACTCCACTCAAGTGCACTATTCTGTCTCCTCTTCCTTGTTTTCTGCCAATTCTTATAGTTTTGTTTTTTTCCACATTTATTTGCATATTTATCTTATTTAATTCTTCCTGAAGAATACAGAGGTTGAATTGCAGGTTTTGTCCATTGTTTACGAAAACCACCAAATCGTCTGCATAAGCGAACAGAGAGAAAAATACAGGCTGTTGATTTCTGTATTCAATATGATATGATCTCATATTTTGTTTTGCTATTTTTATTGCATTGTCTAGCTCTAGTGTAAATAGCAGAGGACTTAAATTGCACACTTGCCTAATACCTTGATTAGTTGTGAACTCTTCTGATATATTATTACATGTTCTCACAACATTTCTTTGAGTCTTAGAATTGCCTTACGAAGGCCCGTTTTGATGACTTTGTCTTCTAACTCTTTTGCTATGTCTTGCTTCTTCACTCGGTCAAATGCCTTATTGAGGTCTACAAAACAAGCATATATCTCTTTGTCCCTTTCTATTAATTTCTCGAAAATTTGTCTTAAAGTAAATATGAGATCCTGGGTACTTCTATTTGGCCTAAATCCATATTGTTCTTCACTCATGGAGGATTCCACTGTTCTTCGTAGGCGTCTCTCTAAAATCTTTGGGTATATTTTACTCGGGACACTTTGTTCTTTGTTTTCGACACGAGGTTTAGAATGTGCTGGAATACTTCTACCCCTTTTGGTTCATATACTTGATGTTTTCAGGGGCAATCCTATCTCTATTTCTGCTGCTCTTCCTGTTTTGAGTTAGGTTATAGCATCCACAATTTCATCTTCACTGATAAAATCTTCTTCCAAATTGATCATGTTCGATCGTCCAGCTTCCTGATTTTCGTCTTCAGTATTTTCGTCCAAAAGTTCCTTGAAGTATTCAGCCCATCTTTGCATGCATGATTCCTTCATTGCTTGTTAGTATATTTCCTTCCTTATCCTTAATTCTCTTTGAGAACAGGTTCTTTCTCTTTGCGCATATTTCGAAGCATTCTGTAGAAAAGCTTCTAATTATCTCGGAAATTGTCTTCCATCTTTCTTCAAAAATCTTCCCATGTTTTCCTTTTGGCTTCTATGATCTTGTTTTTCACTTTTCGTCTCTGTGTTGCGTATTTTTCATAATCATTATGGGAATTCGATTTCAGATATTGCTTCCAATATATCTTCTTCCAGTTGACTTCCTCTTTGACCTCTTCATTCCAGGATGCGATTCTCTTTATTCTTTGTCCCGTATTTATTTTTCCACAAGTTATTTCTGCTGAGTCCATCAGAAGTTTCTTGAAAGCGGACCAAGCTGTTTCGACGTCTTGTCCGAGTCGCAGAGGTATATTCTACTTAGAAACTTTTCTTCTATTATGTTTTCATAGGCAGTTGCTATTTCTTTGTTTTTCAATTTGTAGGCATTTATATTTTGTTCTTTTTGATAACTTTTATTTTCTTTCCTTAGCGAAACTTTATTCAGACTGATGTCCATCCTCAGAAGCCTGTGATTGCTCCCAATTTCTGCGCCTCTCTTGACCCCCAACAAACTTCTATTGTATTTTTTATTTCTTCCCTTGATATGAGAAAGTAACCTATTAATGATTTTTGTTTCGCCCTGGTTCCACTCTTGCATATTGGTGTATTCTTTTATGTGGAAATATGCAAAATAACAGTAGACGTTCTGGACAGTGACTTGACAAAGGAAAAGCAGCAGAACATTTTCCGAAACCATCATATTATCAAAAAAAGATGATAGTTACTGTTTGGTGGGCTTCATTTGGTTTGATACACTACAGCTTCTTAAATCCTGGAGAAACCATCAATGCCGAATCGTATTGTAACCAAATTAATGCGATGCATCAGAAAGTGGCAATAATGAAGCCGTCTTTTCAAGTCAATTGGAAGGGGCCCATTTTGTTGCATGACAACGCCCGGCCACATGTCTCACTTGTGACATCACAGAAACTGTTGGAGCTTGAAAATAAAACTATGCCACATCCGCCTTATTCTCCGGACCTCTCGCCTACAGGTTATCAGTTTTTTAGACAACTGGACTATTACTTACGTGAAAAAAAAAATTAATGAACAAAAGAAATTAGAAAATGCGTTTTTGGAGTTTATCAATTGTAAAGATGAGAAATTCTATTCCGAGGGGATGAAAAAGTTACCAAAACGTTGGCAGAAACGTATTGATATTTGAGGGAGACTATTTTGATTAAATAAAACAGTTGTAAATCTTTCTTTTTTTTTTTTTTCTTTTTAAATCAAAATCCTGCATTATTTTCTGGACAACCCAATATATATGTCAATAACAGAGATTGAATGTTTCATAATTTTTTAGAAATGTAATTAATTTGGTTATTGTTATGTATTTAATTAGAATATTGATGCTAAGACTTTAAAACCCCAAGAAATCATCTTGCATTTGTTTATGTATTAATTGTGTTTTTTTTACAGGTAGAATGTTGCAACAGTAGTAAAAAATGGCCTGTTCCCAATGGAGCACAAGCTAAAACTTGTGAAGAAGTTTACTTGGAAGAATTTCCAGGTCTTATGGAGCTACCATCCAAAAAATGTTAGTTTTAGGTTTTTAAAATAATTATTTTTCTCATTTTTATTAACAGAAAAGTTGTATACACTTGATTATGATCAGAGAAAAAAATTGGTCTATCATGGAGGAACCTTTTCTAAAGCCAGTCTGGTAATTAACCAGCAATCTCTGCTTGTGGTTCAATATTCTTAAAAAATATTCTCAACAAAAAATTCTGAACAAAATCTTTTAGGCATTAGGCTGAAGGAAGATATCTTGGTAATTTCTACACTCATTCGTATCACCTTTTTACTTTCACTTACCTATAATATGAAGTATTTAGTAAGGGAAAGTAATGCGATAACCAAGTCCTGCAAAATGGTGTGTGTGTGTGTTTGTGTTTGTGTATTAACAGTCCAGCTCAAAAACGAAAAGGCGTAAGAAAGTGAAATTGTATATTTAAAATTTTTATATGCTTGGGATATTACAGCAACTTTTTTGTCAAAATCGGCTTACTGGAAATGCCACTTTATATAATGGACTGAACAAATTTTTACAATTTTCTCGAAAACGGCTCTAACGGTTTTGATTAAATTCATCATATCTGTGTAAAATTAAGCAGTTTTAAATAAAATATAGTTTTTATTCTGTTGTTTGATACTGTTGTTCTCCAACAGAGCTTAAATGGCTAGTTTTCAATATTAGCTTCCCCTAAAATACCTTTAATTGTTTTTATTTGAAACAATTGACCATTTCACATTAATCTCTAATATAAAAGATAGTTAAATATAAAATGAGAAAGAATTTGATAATTAACTAAAGGGGAAATGAGAGATTGTAACGGAGAGTAGTTGTAATTGGGGAACCAAAGGAATACGCGCACACCCGAAAGATTAGATCACGCTGGCATACGTAAAATGGGCTTAATATTATGAGGAATCTGACAATATTATGTTAATATACATATGTGGTTTTCATAGGTGCTATTGTTATTATTATTTAATATTTTATTGTATAGATTACAGCGATATAAATATTGAATTTTTTATATAAGGGTACTTATAAAAATAAAAATATCCACAATGAAACATAAATCAATATAGTGTTTGTAATTTTTACTTTTACTTCCCTTTTGTCTGGAAATACTTAGTTCTGCTGAGAAGAGGGTGGTAAGTGTAAGTTGCGTGATGTGTGCACTGCACCAGATTTTTTATATATCAGGATAATATTAGCCTTATTTCAGTCCTCTGCCATCCTTTCATTATCCAGATATAGAGCATATGATTATATAAGGCTTTTTGCATTCCTTCGCCATCGTATTTAAGCAGTTTTGCTTGTATTCCACCCAGGTCTTGGGCTTTATTGGTTTTAAAGTTATGGAGAGTTACAAATTCCACTTGATCAGGCTGTGGTACATCTCTGTCATTCAGGACCCTTTCTTATTCGCTACCTCTTCGGGATCCGCGGTCAATCAGTCCACCTTTTCTGAATATTCCTTTTATGAGAGAAGAACATCTGATGATCTACAAAAAGAAGTTCTAGGTACAAATCTCTTCCTGTCATTATTTATTTTTTGAAAGAATAGTTATATTTTATCAGAGTATCAAGGTTTCTCCCTCAGCCAATTCTTCTTCTTCAGTCATTGGATTTTCTTCTGCTTTCTGGATATAACTTGACTATCGGTTTAGTGTGCCTGCTAATCATTTTTCTGATGTCCTGAAAACATTCTCGATGAAACTATAGAAACCATATGTTTGTTGATACCCCAACATTATTTATATATTTTACCCTAAGCCCAAATGGTATTTCATTATTCATAGGATAAAAAAGTCAACACAATGGATGGTTCTCTTTACAATACCCGGTCAGTTAACAATTAGAAAGATTAAAACACTTTTAAATAGAAAAAATTATCGCTTTTATAAAAATTTGGTTTGTTTAAAGACTTTTTCACACTATTGTATGTACTTAAAACCATCCTAAAATTCCATGCATAGTTAAATATATTTGAAAACCTGGGAAAATTGGTATATTTTGTTTGAGTGCTTATCCACATAGGAATTGTTGGAGCTTGCATATGTAGCAGCCAAGGAAGCATTTACTCTCCTAGGCCGGTCAGGGCGCTGCTATTTCAATGCCTTAAAATACAAGTCCTTCCCTAAAAAAATAAATATCAGACTGAGAATGGACCAAATAAGGCATGAATCATTCATATCTAATTAGCATACAGCCACAACGGAAATGTCAACATTGTAACAATACTCTCAGTTAGCCACAATGTACAAGAGTGTCCTTTTATGTTTCCTGTTGAACTATGTTGGAATTCATACTCCATACATCAGATTTACTTAAACAATTAAAGAAGATACAATAAATTTAGTATTAATTTTTCTGAAAAAACAAAAACGAAATATTAAATAAAATGCATTCTTTTCTTTTCTTTCATTATTTTAAGAGATAAAAAAAATTAAATACATCTGTTGATGACCTCAGGGTTTTAGGCCTTAAAGCCTTAACAAACAAACAGGTTTCTCATTGTCAGTAGTAATAGAAAATGGATAAATATGAACTATGGAAGAATTTGATTATTATAGGAGAAAATGGGATAAATACTTTCACAGGTTGAAAAAAAATTTCTAGAAATAAGAGTAGTAATATAGACGTATGACACATTGTTGCTTAACTAAAGGTTTTAGAAAAATGATTATCTAACATATAAGGTCATAGAAGTTAATAGGGACTGATGAGAAGCTAATGAATTTTAATTGTTATAGTTAATAATGTCTAATTTTGTATTATTGAAAGGGAAATAAGTGAAACAAACATAAAACTAATTTAAATTGGTATATAAAATATGTAGGAAACTATTTTTTTTTTTTTTTTTTTTTAGCTTGGTAAACCAAAAATTTAAAGTTCACAGAAATTTCATACTTTATATTAATTTTCTTAAGTTTGTATTTATAATTAAAGTAATATTCTTAAGATTTATTAACTTTTAAAAAATATTAATTTCTACTGAAAGTAAGTAGGATGGTAATTGAAAGTTGTATATGATGCATTGGATCAGATTTTTTTATTTTACTTTGGACATAACATGATTGCTGAAGCTACATTTATCATATATCTGTTGATGTCACATGCACTAACATTCAGACCCACATACATAATTTTTTCATTAGATTACTCTCTTTAAATTATGCAATTTATATCATTCTTTAGTTATAATGGATTGCATGTGATTTTTGGCAAGAAATAATGGTTTCAGCCTTTAGTTGATAGTATAGTATAGAATATTATGAATATAATTGTAAATTTCAGTTTCAAAAATGTCTATTAATTTCTTTAAATATTGTAAAAAAAATATTACATTATTTTTCTTACATCATCCATGAATACTTTATTTTCTTATGGCTTGTAAGAGTACCTGGTGGAACCAACATTAAATTTTGAGTCTACAATTTAAATTTAATGCTTACAGGTAATAAATCTCATCGGAGAATAAAACCAACAAGTGTCCAAACCGATAGTGAGTGCTTTAGTAAGTTTTATTTATTTACTTTTTTTAAATAGTGCTTTTAAAATAATTAAATATAAAAACTTGTGTTTTATTGTATTCTAAAGTGTTAGGATGTAACAATGGACTGACGTGATTGTTCTGTACTGAAAATAATTATGGTTCTTATTTATGTAACCTTTATTTTTAGACCAACTTGAAAACATATGGTTCATTTTTATTGAAAGTGGAAAAGTGTACTTAAAAAAAAAATAAGGTAGTTTTAGTGAAGTATAGATATTCTGTTATGTATTTATACAATTTGTTTGTAATCATACATGAAATGGAATATGATTTATTGGTAAATAAATCATAGTAGTTTTTGCTATAAGATATTGCAAAAATCTATTTTATTTTATTATTTTTTAAGTGGAATAGGTCTGTTCCTAATAATCATTATTTAAATGACTTTATATTTTCAATTGGAGGGGGAGTGGGGTAGTACTTATTACTCAGTGGGTAAGCACTGACTTCCAGAGCTCATGGTCCTAGGTTCGAATCCGGCTAATAGCTAGTAATTTTTCATTAGCCGTGGATCGACTCTGGGGCACACCCAACGTGTATAAAATGGGTACCCTTTAGTAAAAAATAATAATTAAGGGGGAAAACCTGGCGGTTGAGCTTGATCACCTCTCTGCACAACCGTTGGCCTTGTAACAGTACATCCTCACATTGTACTGAACCCTAGACCCTTCATGGATTGTATTGTGGGTACAGGTTTTTATATTTTCAATGATTATTATTATTGATGGGATGATCATTCCCCTTTTCAAATCTTTCACTATGTAACCATCGTTTATTTCATCATAATTACAAATCACCTGTTGTCATGTATTAATTACAATTATCCTCTGGAAATATTTTTTCTTCTTTCATTGTTAGGATTTATTACATAGTGCTTTTTATTGTTATTCTTTATATATATATATGTATATATATTTTTTTTTTTTTAGATGAAAAACAGTTATTAGAGCCTGTTAGTAGTATGGATTCCTGCTCAGTACCTACTTCATTTAGTATTTCTAAGGAAGAATTACTGATACAACGATTTTCAAAAAAAAAAAAAATCAAAAAATCTTATTCACCACTTGATATCAGTATTGCCTTTAATAATAAATGCAATTTTACATCTTTTAATTTTAATAACTCAAGGTTCATAAATATTGATAAATTAGTTAATGTTTATATCACTCTTATGAAAAATTACCTAGTCCCGAATTTATCTAATGAAATACGTTTCATTTTAAATTTATTTGATCAATTAACGGAATGTCGCGCCTCCTTTTCTACTAAACACAATTCTGGAGAAGACATTTCATTTTTAAGTACAGTTGAGGATTGGGAATATTTTTGTGTTCATGTAATCCTCCAGTTAGAGAATATAATTTCGAAACTCGATTCGAATATATTAAAATTTATTGTCAACCGGTTGTCAATGTTTGCTGTGGAAATACCTGCTTCTTATACTAGCAATAATGCTGATATAGTAAGTATCGACTTGATTAAGTAAGCATGTTTTTTTCTTTTGAGACTTTGTAAATTCCTTTTCCAACTTTACTTATTTTTAACTATTCTGCATGTAGCTCTTGTGTGATTGTTAATTCTTTAATAACGATGGATTCATATATGACTCGAGAGAGAATCAGGCCCAGGTGATGATGGACTCATATATGAATCAAGACGGAACCTTGCCTTTATTAATATTTTGAATAGATAACCATTGTTATAAAGTTGTAAAATGAGAAATAAATAATAATCTATTATATATTTCTTTTTTCACAATCAGCTCACAATAACAGGCATTATATTTATTTTTCAGTACTTCAAATTGTGAATTTTGTATAGAACAATTGTTAATATTTCACTTTAACATAATATTTTTATGTCGGTAGTCATCAACCACTTAAAATCATGGTTTGAAATAATATTATAACTTTTATGTTTTAATAGTTTTGTTATAACTGGAATATTTATTATATATGTTTTTTTCCGGTTCATTCGAAAGTAGAACTTTTTAAGAGAAGATTTTATAGAAATCTTATTTTTAAAATTTCTGTTGATTTCACTAAAAAGTCGATCAGAATATTATTTTTATTCTTAGCTACTCAAAAAAACAACATATTAGAATTAATTAATTCTAATATAAGTTAAATAAATAATATGTATGTAATAAAAAATTAATAAGAAAAATCAATAGAAAATTAATAAAAAATAAATACAAATAAAATTTAAAGTTTTACCAGAAACCTAGATATTTATAATATAAAGTTCTAGAACTTTTATTTTAAGAACTTTTTTTGTAAAAGGTTTCACAAGAACTGTCAAAATATAATATTTAGAAAAGTTTCAATCCCTGCCTTAAACTATACCAACATTTATGCTATAATTAACTAAAAAAAATTACTGGATTCTAATATCTAATACTTGGTGACTTGAATAATCCTCAAGCTTCACGTTGTACAAGATTAAGTAATTGTAGTTAATCTGTTTCAAAGTAATATCAGGACATATAAATAAATATACCCAAAATTTTTTGAAATTTATTTTTGTAAATTTAAAACTTTGTAAATAATACATCATTATTACAATTTTTTTTTGGGTTTCTGAAAACAGAAATAATTTAAATGTATTGCGGGGTCAGTTTATATGTTATTCACGGTGTAGATTTTTGTTGGGCAGTATCAACGTTTTATAAAAGTTTAGTTAATTTGGTGAACAATTTACATAATCAGTCATCTCAAATTCAGTTTTAGATCAATATGCTGCACATTTTGAGTCCAGCTCAAGAGGCACGTCCTTCAGGGAAGTATACCCCACCAATTGAGTGAATTTTTGGGCATCAGTTTTTAAATTGCAACCGATTTATGCAGTCAGTTGTTATGGTTTCGATTCGTTTTCATGTAATCTATCTAATGAGATCATTTTCGGCCATAAGATTTTTCGTTGAATGGCTTCAACTCAAATTAAAAATTCAAGTCAATTTTAAAATTACAATGATTAATGTTGCCATTCATCTTGCATTTTATTTTAGATCGGTTCACTGTGTATTTTGAGCCCAGTTCATGGTGTAAATCTTTTAATTAAATTCACTCAATTAAATTCAAATATAGGGAATTTAGGGGCGTCAGTTTTTAAATTGCAACGACATGAGTGATCAGTTGGCATGCTGTATTTCTTCATTATATATCGAAGGAGATTACTTTCAGCTGTAAGGTTCTTCGTTTAAATATTTTAACCCATTTTTAAAAAATCAGGTCAGTTTCAAAAAAGCAAAAACTGTCGTCTTCAGTCATTTTCATCCAGTGAAAAAGGAATATAGCAGCACTAATTATTTTGGTCTATGCAAATGAAAACCAAAATGTTCTGTTGATAATTATTACAATAGCTGTTATAATATAGTTATTATTTTTATGAATGTCATATTGTTGTGAATTGCATACTTTTGATAGATGTGTTACCAATTTTATTTATTTATTGAAGATATTCTGTATTACAGATATTAGGTCAGTCTGGATTCAGATTTCATAGTAGGATTTTTACTGAGAATAAAATGGTGCGAGATGATTTTTCTAGTGAAAGTGAATTCATTTTAATTTGTGAGCAAGAAAAAAAATTTCTTGAAATTGAAAAAAATTGGTGTAGTCATCGATCTGATGTTCAACTTGTAGAAGAAATAAAAAGCTTCCTAGATGTTAGTTCCCAGACTTTTTGGTTTTATTTCCTTGGAAAAAAATTTGTATGCTGTTTAATCATGAAGATCGAGGTAATTATAAATATTTCAGATTAAACATATTAAGTATTCAAAACACAAAAACATAATCTTGCATGTATATCAGTTAATAATTTTTCTCATATTGAACCTGTTCTAATATTATTATTGTTGAGAATGCAAACTACCTGGAAATACATTTTTTGGAACTGTTTTTCTAACTTATTAGTTACTTTAAAAACAATAAATTCATGCCAATGAGATGGTATCAAAATGCTAGACAAACTCTTGAGTTTGAAAGCTGCATGCACAATTTTGGAACACAGGTAACAGTGCTGGAAAGATATGTGTTGAACGATTGAATAGGATTCGTGTGTTATGTCGCATAAAGCAGTTACTGTTAATAAAACTTTCTTTTCATGCTCTTAAAATCCCGAAAACAGTTGATACAATGATTTGAATACTGTTTTGAAAGCTACTGGAGTTTCCTTTAATGAACCACCAAAAAGTGGGTCAGTACTGTCATTTAATGTCATTGGTGTACAGTATCTGAAAGAATATTGCTACTTAAGAGTCCTGTTAGGTTCCAGATTTTGATGCCTCTTCCAACATAGCTCTAAATAGTTCAATTCCCAACCAGACCTCAACCTCCAGAAGGTATCATATTCTTTGACGTCGAAGCAAGATATCCCCACTGAAAAGAAACAACTATATAATTTCTCTATGTCAATCGATTCATAAGATTGATAGGAAATCGATTTATTATCGGGTTTTACCCACTGGAGTCAGGATCCCTTCTTTCATCCTCTCTTCACCCCAGCCAAACAACAACTGTTTGAGCCATAATGGACTTTATAGAATCTTAGAATGGAAGGGTATGCCAGCTGGACTTATTGGTTACATGAAGGGGCTATATAGCAAATGTTATACCCGCATTACAGACAAAAAGCAGCATACGGATCCTATTGTATGCGGAAGAGGTATAAGGCAGGGTGACCCATTATCCCCTAGTCTCTTTAACATGGCAATGGATTGGGTAATCCATTCCCTTCCAGATGGAATAGGCTACGATATGGGAGGAACAATGGTAAACTGCCTGGCATTTGCAGACGACCTAGTCTTAATCACATCCTCATCGAAAGGCATGAAAAGATTACTATCGGACGCAGCTGCAGCTATTCAAGATCTGGGAATGGAATCCAACCCAGCCAAATGCTTTAGCTTTTCTCTCGTCAAGGCCGTCAATTCTAATGTTATGAAGGTTGATAACAGATATCATTTCGTAGTAAATGGCGCTAGAATCAAGCAGTTGGGTATCTTGGATTGCTGGAAATACCTAGGAGCGAAATTTTCGTTGAACAACATGAATGCCGAAGGGATTATCGATGAATTATCATTATTGCTGCACAAAACAAACACTGCACCCCTAAAACCCCAACAAAAATTAGTGACTTTGAGAACTTATCTCATCCCGAAATTCATTCATCTCCTCACACTGAGCCCAAGCAAAATGAACGAGTTGAGAAAGTTGGATATCTCAACGAGAGCGGCAATACGTTCCTGGCTGCGACTGCCTCAGGATACCCCTACTCAGTATTTCCATTCCGCTTGTACTGATGGTGGTTTGGGAGTAATGAGCTTTAGCAGTGCTATACCCTCACTCAAGCTCGCGAGGTTACGACGTATGGAGTACTCTGGTTGCCCAGTAGCAAGAGCCGCCTATCATTCCTCCTTTATCACTAAGGAAATGAGAAAACTCACAAGCAACCTCACGAAAATGGGCCTCAACGCGGAAAACACTTCCAGTGAAGAACGAAAGAAAACGCTGTCCATGAAGTTATATCGTAGCGTTGATGGTAAGGCATTAAGGGAGTCAAAAAACTGCCACCCATCAACTCATTGGTTGACAGACTACGCGGCTCCGATAACCGGACGTACCTTCATACAGACGGTAAGAACTCATATAAATGCCCTCGCTACCCGAGTGAGATTATCCAGAGGACGTAGGGCTTTTATGCCGACCCAATGCAGAGCTGGGTGTCCTGCAAGCGAAACTGCCAGCCATATTATTCAACATTGCATTTTGTCTCACGGTGGTAGAGTGCGCCGGCATGATACAATAGTGAACATGTTGGAAATTGCTCTCCAAAAAAAAGGATACAGGGTCACAAAGGAGCAAATGTTTGTTGGTAATAGACGAAGGTGGAAGCCAGACCTGGTGTGCTCAGGACTAAGCGGACACTTCATTATAGATGCACAGGTCGTCGGGGATAACCCTAGCACCACTCACTGGAACAATGTCAAAGCCAATAAATATAGGGACCTAGATTGCAGGATGGCGATCGGGCGTACACTGGGAGTGCCAGGCGTGGACATAAAAGTACTGCCGCTCACAATAACTTGGAGAGGAATATGGTGCCGAAGATCTTTCCAAGACATGGATATGTTAGGAATTCCCAAGAGAACGATGAACGCTATTACAATAAGAGTCCTTAAAGGGTCCCACATGAATTACAGTAATTGGTTCAGGCTGCTTCCTCGTTTATAGCATGATACTCAATGATTATATCGATGTCATAATTTACATTTTTACGTTTTGTTTTATTTATCTTTACTTTTTATTTTATTTATCTATTTATTTATTTCATTTTTATTCGTTTAATTTTATGTTTATTTATTTACTTTTTTTTATTATTATTTTTTTTTTTTTTTAATTTTATTTATTTATTTTATTTTATTTATTTATTTATTTTTATTTATTTTTTTTTTATTTATTTTTTTTTTTTTTATTTATTTAGATATGTACTATAGTACTACTTTTTTATGACTTATATTGCGGAGGGATTGCTACCTCCATGGTTTTTAAAATTACTTTATATATAGTGTGTATTTTATGTATGTATATGAATGTATGTATATTTTTCTTTTATACTTTTATCGACGCAGCTGCTTTTTGTATGTAAATGCAATGCTCAGTATATTATAACTTAATATTAGTATTTTTTCTTTTTTTTTTATATATGATTCTTGGATTCCAATATCCAAGATAAAACGTTACGATGGTGAAGGTAGCACCAAATTGAATTGGAAATTGAGAAAGGTCTGGAGTTTTGTTACTTCGAAAAATATATTAACTATGTATGAACTACCAAATAAATAAATAAAAAATGAACCACCAAAAAGTGGGTCAGTACTGTCATTTAATGTCATTGGTGTACAGTATCTGAAAGAATATTGCTACTTAAGAGTCCTGTTAGGTTCCAGATTTTGATGCCTCTTCCAACATAGCTCTAAATAGTTCAATTCCCAACCAGACCTCAACCTCCAGAAGGTATCATATTCTTTGACGTCGAAGCAAGATATCCCCACTGAAAAGAAACAACTATATAATTTCTCTATGTCAATCGATTCATAAGATTGATAGGAAATCGATTTATTATCGGGTTTTACCCACTGGAGTCAGGATCCCTTCTTTCATCCTCTGTTCACCCCAGCCAAACAACTGTTTGTCAAAACAAAAATCCTTTGTTCCTCTCCTTTTTGGGGAAACTACAGAGCAGCCATTTTCTTTTCCCTGAACTAGTGAAACTATTTTCAAGTTTAAATATCCCCTGACATTAGCAGAACTAGATTAGCTTGCCTTTTAACTGCCCAACATTAATTTATTAAACCATTAAGCTTCCAATAAAGGTGTATATTACAATATATACATATCACTCAATCTTATTATTTTAGATTCTCTTCAATATTCACTTAACTCCAAAAATTGAATACTTTTACTTTCATACCACAGTGTTATCCAGATTCCTTGTTAATTTCTAAATTGCATATCAGTTTTTATTCATAAGAAAATTTCCTGATAAACTATTTAATCCTTAGCCATTGTAAACATTAACTCTTTTCTTGACTTTAAACTTGTTCAATTTACCCATCTTTTGTGGTTAAAGGAAAAAACAACTACATCAAACGACAATGATACATTAACTAAACTATATTAGCTAATAACTATCATTTAACATTTATAATGTTGAATATGGACAATTAATACTTAATGAACATCATAACATATGTTATTTAAAGAGGTTTCTAAAAGTAGCTATAGAATTATTATAATGCTGTACATTGGTATCTTATCTCACTTGAAAACAGCTTCATTCCACATTTTTTGGTGCGAGAAATTCAAATTTCCACATAAATATCATCAGTTAGCTCTAGTTTCAAAGATATAGTTACTTTTTGCGTAATATAGGGAAATTTCCTTCTCCTGGATTAGTAGAATTGATTTCTGCCTGTGAATCACGGGACGTGACTAGCTGTGAATCACAGAACCATTTTACTGACAGTTGTATGCAGTGTTTATATTTCAAGTTACTCTTGACATAATTTTTCTTGCTTCAGGCATTCTTTCAACAATTTGTCGTGATAATGCCCAGGAAGTGTGAGAATGCTCCTGACCATTTTTGTTACATTTGTGGGGAAGTAACCTTTGCAAGTCAAAAACATCTTATCACCCAGATGATCAAGACAGCATACCACAAGTATTTTGGGATGAAGGTTGGTGACCAAGATAAACCGTGGTCCCCGCACATCTGCTGCATCACAGGTAGCGTGAATGATTGAACTAGAAAGGTCGTTCAATACATTTTGCTGTTTCCATAGTGAGCAGGGAGCCTACTAATCACACTGACAACTGCTACTTTTGCATGACCCCTCCTCTTTATCATGGAAAGAGAAAGAAAGAAATCTGAAGTGAAGTACCATGACATTCCTTCTGCTATACGGCCAATACCACACGGAGACGAATTGCCTGTTCTAAGGCCCCCTGAACACTATGACTTGAATGAAGATGAGGATAACGAAGAGGAAAATCCCCTAGAAGGAACCCCATCAGATGATTCTGATTTTCCTTTCGAACATGAAGAACAAAAATCTCACTTGCTTACTCAAGTTGAACTTGGTGATTTGTTTCTGGACCTGGATCTGCCCAAAGAGAAAGCAGGACTTTTGGGTTCAAGATTGAAGCTATGAAACTTCTTACAACCTGATTTAAAGAT